AAATTATTGTATGTAAAGCAAAATCATTATAATATGGAGTATCATAGTCTGTACCAGAACTACCACATTAATTTGATCCTTTATTAAATGGAAAATACCAAGATTGATTCCATTAATCTAAAATTATGTAAAAATATTGTCTGGCCAATCATCAATTCTTAAGATATATTAATATTAAACCTCTCATATTCTCCAAAAAAAACTATGTTTACTCCAAAAATATATGTATGAGAATTTCATTGATGGAATAGAACCAAACAGTAGTTATCCTTTAATATAATTAATAACCTTAAGTTTTTACATTTATTATGCTAATTTAATATAAAGATTTGGTTTTGGATATGTTGTAGCAGAATTCTTAGTTTAAAATTTGTTAATGTGATGAAAAATCAAAAAATGTTTTGTATATAATTTATATTCATATTAAATTAATTTATTATAAGAGTAGCTATTCTATAAGAAAAAAAGAACTACTTATAAAGTAATTCATAAGTAATTATGAAGAATTTTGTTTTAATTTAAATTGAAACCAACAATATTGGTTCTAAATTAAAATTACATCATTATATATAATTTAATTTCAATCAAATTTATATGTACTCTTTACTTAATTGGATATCAGAATGAATGTATTAATGACAATTAATCATATATCATAATTTTATTTTATTCATTCATTTTCAACATAGAACATATTTAATTGTTATTAATTTAAGACATTTTTCTTTAATTCTTAAATAAAAAAAAAATAGGTTTATTTAGATTTAATAGCAAATCTATCATATTAGCAACAATTGGATAAAAGTGGATTTCATGATAGAACTTTTCATTAAAGAAAATTATAGATTATATTATAAACAAAATATAATACTAATTGGAATTTATATTAAAATTTAAATTAAAGATAACTCTTAAAAAGATCAAAATAATATAAAAATAGTTCGAAAATTGATAATAATGCACATCTTCCCTTGAGAATAGGTTGCCTTATTGCGAGTCCCTAAATCTTACCTTCTTTCTTTCTTACTAATTTCTCTGAGTGTTATTGGTCAGCATTCCTCCAAAAGTGCTGTAGAACGCTATCAGCTTTCTTCGAGATCGGATCAATATAATATGATAAATTAAACAATAAACAACATATCTTTTTTATAAAAAAAAATAAAAATTAATTAATAATATAAATTCAATTGATAATAAAAAGGTAATGAAAATTCTTATTAATAATTTGATTGTTTAAATTGCAGGCTTTTTGAATTTATGATTATATACATTTATTTAAGAAATTAACTTTTGTCAAATGCTATTTACTTTTGAGTTTATTAAATTTACTTGTTAGGCGATGAAATACTATGTTTTAAGTTTCCTAATCAATTGGATTAGAGTTTTAAATTTTGATATAGTTTCAAAATGAGACTTATTGTCAATTTCTTTTATTTAACAAGCCAGTTTTGAATAAAATAAATTTCAGAGTAAAAGTTATTTTAATCAGATATACTCAATTTATGAGCGAAGCATAAAATATTAACAATAACTTAATTAAAAGTAATCAATCTATAATCATGATAATAGAAGATTAAAGTTAAAGATATATAACGGTTCCATTTTAATAATAATTGAATCCTAATTGATTTTAAGATATTCTCAAGACGCCATAGCTAGGATAAGTATATATGTTAATGAATTATTTATACTATGTTAAAATTTATAATTTGAATAACAATTTCAACGAAAAAGTAAATAATTGCAAACTATTTAGTAATTAATCATTATTGAAATTTGATTATTTAAAAAAGAAAAAGGAGCAATTGATGCTTTGTTTATGTAAAGGTATATTGTATATACTTACCTTTTATTATTCATAAGCTATCAATTTTCAACTTCATTTTTGTTAAATTTGTTCTTATAATAATACTTTTAATTAGCATTTTCTTGAATTTATTAATCAATAATTCATTTCTCAATAATTATATTTGTTATTATTAATAAATAATTTGATAATAAATACATAATTTGATATATTAAATATATTTAAATTGATTTAATGATAAAAATAATAAAATAGAAATTCTTTTAAACAATAATTTAATTAATAAATTTTTAATTTTAATAATAATTTTAATATTTTTCATTATTCTTAATGATATTTTCTAATTTATATTTCATATGACTTACAATCCCAACTTATAAAATACTGCCCATCTTCACTCATTTATCCATAAATATATTCATCTCCATAATCAATAGATTATTGTAATATTAAATCACCATTTTGATTCATCCTTATCAAATTAACATTGAAACCATTCTTATTCACAAGCAAGCATTTCTATTTTATATATTATTAAGGGAAATAATAATAACATTGATTATAACCACATTTAACATCAATTTCTTTTGTTTTTGAGTACTATTTATTAATATTATTCATTTCATAAATATGCATCTACTCTTTACAATAAGGTTAAAATGTAAATAAATTCTCATTGATAAAGCATATTCTATAACCATAATCTTAAACTTTTATCTTTTATATTACATTCCAGTTTTTATTCTATTATGATTATTCTATTATTAATATTTAACAATCATATCCACATGATATCACTTTATTCTATTACTCATTCATACTTAATCCATTTACATCATTTGTATGATCTGTAATAGTTTATGAACATATCCATTTATCCTACTTTATCCAAAATTTAATTGTCTTATCATCACTTCCTGATATTATAATATCTTCATTATTGTTCAATAATAAACAATTAATTTAATCTTTATGTTCATTTAATATTTATTAGGAAATCCATTAATTATTTTAATTCATTTACCAAATTATAATCTAATAATCCCAACTACCAGATATAAATTGATTTGATTTTTTCATGAAATTTAAAGTTGAAATCCTATTCTTATGTTCTTTTAAAAGTTGAGTTTGTTTCAACTATTCTTATTTGAATTCAAATACTGTAATATCATTTTCACATGCTGCTAATACAATAGAATTATCTTTATTAAAAGCTATTGCATTACACCATTGATCTTCCTATTTTATTGAATTATTTGATATAAGTTTATATTAAAATGGATTATTATTTATAATTTGATTTGATTGTTATTAATTTTCTAATTAATATAATTATTAACTTAAATGTTATTGTTTTTATTTAATTTATTTATTAATAGTTTAATTAATAATAGGTTTGATTTCTTAAATTATTTGATTAGGTAATGTTTTTAAAGAATCTAATGATATTTAAATAATTGGTATTTCTAAATTAATTGTACTTTTAATATTAATTGAACTATTAAAAAGAGGAATTTAATCAAGTAATTCATCAATTTTATTAAAACCAATCTAATTATAAAAATATTATTAATACATCTAATTATTATTAAACAATTTCAAGACATTCATTCATTTTTATTTATTAATCTTCAACAATCTATTCAATATTCATTTATTATTATTATTATTATCATATTTTAATCATTTATATCCTATTTCTATTAAAAATTATTTAATAAATAATACGTAATTATATTGCATTCGCAAAAATTAAAATATATTTTTTTTTTAATTTAAAGAATTTTTAAGGCATAAAATCAATAGATTTGTGATACTAAATATGAATTTTCTTTGATATACAAGGATGAAAAGCGATTCGAAATAATCAAATGGTTAGAGAGGAAGTAGAAATAGATTTACTGTGTGTCAAATACGATATTACAAAATAAAATTGAAGTAGAAGGATTTAGAATTTTATATAATTCTAACCAAATATCTCAATATTTTAAATTAATTTCAATAATGCAAATAACAGTATTTTAATTTCTTAGGTTTTTGTTTTTGCAGAAATAACTTAATACATATGAAATTTATTAGAAATAACTATTTAATCTAATGATATTCTATATTTATTAATGGTTTGTTTATTCCTTATTTTCTTATAAACTTTAAAATTTTAATCTTTGGTAAATGTTTTCTTGTTCTTCAAAAATTTGGTTTAGTTTATCCAAGTTACGTAATGATTACAAAATCTATTCTCATGCCTGCATTAATTAAGAATAGAAATTAACTAGAAAAAAAAAAATGAATATATATATGTAATAAGCTAAATGAAGGTATGCTGAAATTTTTATTATAAATTAAATTACTATTAGATAAATGATGTAATATTAACTCAAATAATTTTTAATTACGTATTATTTATTAAATAATTTTTAATAGAAATAGGATATAAATGATTAAAATATGATAATAATAATAATAATAAATGAATATTGAATAGATTGTTGAAGATTAATAAATAAAAATGAATGAATGTCTTGAAATTGTTTAATAATAATTAGATGTATTAATAATATTTTTATAATTAGATTGGTTTTAATAAAATTGATGAATTACTTGATTAAATTCCTCTTTTTAATAGTTCAATTAATATTAAAAGTACAATTAATTTAGAAATACCAATTATTTAAATATCATTAGATTCTTTAAAAACATTACCTAATCAAATAATTTAAGAAATCAAACCTATTATTAATTAAACTATTAATAAATAAATTAAATAAAAACAATAACATTTAAGTTAATAATTATATTAATTAGAAAATTAATAACAATCAAATCAAATTATAAATAATAATCCATTTTAATATAAACTTATATCAAATAATTCAATAAAATAGGAAGATCAATGGTGTAATGCAATAGCTTTTAATAAA